TATAAGCTGATTTTTAGGCGAGTTAGGACCCAATATTTGAAGTGAATAATTTTTGCCGTTCATCTTTGAATGAACTATTAGGTTTTCCCATAAGTCTTTTCATATCTGGCTTTTCACCACCATAAATCTGCTCGTTTTAGATTTCTAATGGGATGCGGGGAACCATTCGAAAGATCATAGAAAGCTCTACAATACGGCTTTCAAAAATTCGTACCAGGCTTGATCCGCATCAAGCTTCAACACAAAATGGAAGAAAATCCAAAATCCCAAAAAAAAACGAAAATATTGCTATCTCAGTTCAAAAACATTTTGCAAAGTTCCTGCTTGCTCATGCATATAATCTCCCCATCAAATATATTTATATATACACTTGCTGCATTTTTCCGATGGCCAAAAATCGAGAAAAATATAATGCGCTCAATTTTTAAACTTTGCCTGTAATGGTCTATGCTCTTCGCAAGTAATTATATAGCTTAGTCACTCAAGATTACTCCTACAAATTTGCACTTTGTAGATGCCTTTGTTTTTGAGATTTATCAATTTGAATGTACAAATATGAAAAGACTTATGGGACAACCTAATATGAATAACGAAATTTCTTCTTTTCTCTCAATTCTCAAGTAACTTGATTGAGCTTATCTCATATCTCGATTATCTCAAATTTATTTTTCATCAGATCTCTCCTTTCCAAATTTCTGATCACAAATTTGGAGAACATTCAAATGGTGATTACGGTGACTAAAAGAAATCGTTAACAGTACATGTGAAGTCAAAGTCACCTTACAGGAATCGGTGTGTCGCGCAGTTTTATCACTTCGTTCCAATCTGGAGGTTTGCATTTGCTACAGAAATCCGATTCGAACTCTTTTAATAATAGTGAGATTGTGAACGATATCGCATTCACTGATCTTCTTTATAGGCAAGTTGAAACAGGAAATTTCGCATAAATTCGAAATTCTTTCCAGAGGGTTTGCAGCTACGTAGGTCAAAAGGAGCAAGAGTTAGAATTACAATGAGTATTTGACTAGGTGCACTAGCTGAAAAAAAATCAGGGAGGACCCAACAATTTTTTTTACATTTGCAGAAATAATAGCAAGCAGTCTGTGCCACCTCAATGCCTATTTTGTATATTTCCTCCCCCATTTTCTAAGCAAAAATTTCTCAAAATCTTACTCATCACAGTTCGATTCTCACTGTAAAGTCATTGATACCAAAATTTTCACCTAACAGGTTCTGACTCAGACAAGTCAAAAAAATAGCGGTCAACTCGCATTTGTGAAAATATGGAAGATTTCTATATTTGGAAAGAGAGATGATCAGTTCAAAATCTTGATACTCCGAAAATCTGGCTTTGCAAATTTTTTTTTCAAAGTTTGATATTTAGCTAAAATTTCCTGTTTCTTTGAGTCTATATATGACGAGAGAATGGGTACTGGTTTTCGGAGCGCATGATGAAATGTGTAGCTTTCTTGTCCTTTCCTACTCGGACAACTGACCGGAACTTCCGCAGAATGTTTGGAAAAGTTCCGCCGTGTCACCTACGGAAGTTCCGTAAACGTGCTGGGAAGTCCCAAATAAGGTGTTGCGGAAGTTCGGAATGCGAACCCTTGGCTTTGTAAAAAGTCCTGCAAAAGTTCCCGTTTTTAACCGGTCTGACGTGCAAATCCTGCGGAAGTTCTATTTTCAACGTTTTTACTTTTGCAATAGTAAAGAAAATCCTGCGGAACCGCTGCAAATTTGGCTTCTCCTGCGGAAGTTCCGGTGAGCTGTCTGAGTAGTGGAAAACATTTCAAGCCGTCCCTTTTTGGCATTAGACGTATTTTTTGCCGATTTTTTGCACTTTTAGCAGCAAAAAATAACAGATAAATGATTTCTTATTATCTATGAGGCTCAAATTTGAGTAGAATGTAATAAAATCAATGGACAAGGTTGAACCGAACCGTTCCGTTGTGTAGAAGTTCCAGAAGTCGCACAGTATCAGGTGCACTTGCACTCATTATCATCAACGCCAAAGAATGTTCACGGATTGAAACTTCTCTTTTTTTGTGAAGAGTGTGAAAAATTATCCTTTGCGCTAGTTGATTCAATACACGTCACAATTTAATCAATGGTTAACAGTGTGAATTCGTACCGACAACGAGAGAAATACTGTTATGGGGGGGGGACGGAACTTTTTCGAAGTAGCGGCCTTAGCCACGAACTCGAAAAAATTTTCACGATGCTTCCAAACTTTCTGATGAGCCTATGAGCCACGCCCACCAAAAACTTGGCTTACAGATCTAATTCGATTTTTTAAGACTTTAAAAAATACTCCACGCAGGGCCATGCACAATTTTTTTAGCTCATGTAAGGGGGTGGGGGAAGAGGAATTTTTCGCCGATGGTCGTGCAAAAAAATATATTCCAGATAGCAGGGTTATGTTACGCTGTTATGCGTTTATGCTCTTTGAAATTTTTCTCGACAATCTCTCGAATCTCCTAAATTCATCTCATCCTGGAACTCCTAGAAAGCTTTTTTCATAAAGCCAATCCAGGCTAATAAGAACATAATCTGCACAAGCTTTTCCCAAAGCATCCTTATCCAACTTAAAATCAAATTTGGATTACTTCAAGAAGTTTCGCTGGGGAAAAACATTCTCAAACTAATTAATTGGTTTCAAATTGGCTGTGGTGTCGCGCAGTTCCAAATGCTGTAAACCATATTGTCTACTTATCGCAGCGATTCACTGGGCCTTCTATCGATTTATTGATTTGTTTACTCAAATCCAGAAAAATGAAAACTTTTTTATGCTCCAACTGATCATTTTTCCATAACATGTATGCAGGGGCGGTGAAGTCCATTTCAAACTCAAAATCGAGAGTATGCGGCAATCAGGGCCCGGCACGAGGTGGGCAAACGGGGTTTTCCAAAACGAATTCCCCTTTGATCCCGATAAATTTTACGAATACCCCCTTGAGCCCAAAAATGACGTTTTGTGCTTGTGCGACGAGATTACCGGCCACACTTCGCCTAAAAGCGCTCAAAAGCGCCCAAATTGCTCAAATTCCTCAAATTACTCCTCAGCTGTATCAAGATAGAAAACAGGAAGAAAAATAAGCAAGAAAAATGATTAAGGAATGAGAAAATATCAAAGAAACGCAGTCATAGGAATGAGAGACGCCGTTCCCGCGCGTATTGATTGACTGGGGCGCGCTTTCCATCTTAGAAAGCTAGGCTGCTGATGCGATTTTGGGCTCTGACAAAGACAAGAGGAGGAGTTTCGGAACGAAAATCTCACCATGTAGTAAACTTTAGGTATACAACAGATTTATGTAAAAATTTTGAAAAAATTATGTGAATTGAGAGTTTTGCCGACCTCAGGTGGGAATTAGGTCGGCAAATGCCGACCTAATTTGGAAATTAGTTAAGCACGCTCTTCATTCACATAGGTTTTTCATAACAGTAGATTAAATGCTCTCTTATCTTCAAACCTGGGCATCTTGTAAAGTGTTAGTAATGTGCCTTGTTATGCCAAACCAGGTTTGTTGGTGGATCTCTTTATTAGACCTGACGGTTTCGACTGTCTCGTCTTCTTCAGAGGTCTTGAGTCCACCGCATTCCAGTAAGTCCGCACATTCCAGTAAGTCGAAACCGTCAGGTATAATAAAGAGATCCACCAACAAACCTGGTTTGGCATAACACGGCACATTACTAACATTTTTCATAACATTTCATACTTTATTACTTAGTCCTATTGCGCATATACACGCCGAAACCCGCGCGATTTCGTTACCTCTGCGTTGCAAACGAGCCATTTTTCCATTTCTTTGGTTGCGCAAAATTTTCAGAAAAAAGTTTGCCACAACCTTCAGTCACATAATTTTTCAATGAAACTCCTTAGTTAAGCCCTGCAAGCCCGTGCGCATGTACTTACCAAGTTTCATACCATATCGTTCATCTGCGCATTCCAAACGAGCCGTTTGAATTCACATCTTCATTTACCAGTTTTGCGAAATTCTCGGAAAAAATGCTAATTACTCGTCCCGTTCACATAAATTTTTCATAATTTTTCATAATATGTTTCCACTAGCTTCTCTCCGTTCGCATACAAAATTTGGTGCCATATCGTTACACATACACTGAGAACTAGTCATGTATGCAGTTACAAATAGCATCGCTTGGGCGACGGCGCGGTTTGACGCCCGCGAACTCCAGTGTTCGCCTGTTGAGGCACATAACATGTCAAGATAAGTAGCGAGAAAAAATGCAAAAACGATTTCCCCTTTGCTTTTTGGCCCCAAAACGATTTCCAGCTTGTCATTTGCCGACCTCGTGCCGGGCCCTGGCGGCAATTCGTCTCAAAGCTCTTTTGGCGCATGTTTGAAAAAGTTTAAAAGCGTAAGCTAACAAGTTCTATCAGCTTAACTAATTTGGAGCCTCGGGTGAGACCGGGACTACCAGCCAGTTGTCTATAAAAAAGAAGTGAATGTTAAGCTAAGCACCCTTCTTGACGGCACTCATATAATTTTTGAAAAATATTTCCCAACTCACTACTCTCTTTTCTTCACAAGAACTATGTCAAACTACATTTAGTCCAATTTGGACCATTGCACACAAAATGAGCGTGATATTTTACAAAATATCGCTAACTGCTTATTCTGATGCTTTCGCGGCTGGAAAGTCATGGATTTCACGCGCAATGTGCACTTCTGCATTCGCACATATCATATTTCTCGAAAAAAGGAAACTATAAATAATGCGAAATAATTTGAAAAAGTTATTTTTCCAATTTCCATTACGAAAAAGAAAGCTTCTACTGCATTTTCCTTGGACAACGTTGTTATAGCATAAATTCTTCACAATTTTTAATTTCACCAAGCTTTCGACCACTCGCATGTTTATGTTTGTTTATGTTTTTGTTTCTTTATGTTTGTCCCTCATTCCGTCATAGTTTTCAAAATCTCGTACAGTCAGCAGTTTTCATACCTACTATAGTTTTATTTGCAGCCGTCGCTGATTCACTGAAAGTCTACTCATCAGAGTAAAAGACAAAGACAGGGCATCTACCAGAGCATTGCCGTTGTTCTCGCGGCTCACTGTTCTTTGAGGATGACACTGAGTAAGTTTAGATTTTTTTAGGGAAGGGTGCAGGGGGGGGGGGGAAGGGAGGAAGGAGGTTGAGTAGCATTACTGAGCTTTCCGGAAAAACAGTCTCAATTTCTAGCTGCTTTTGCCCCATTTTCAAAAATCCAGAATTCGTTTGCTTAGGGATTTGAGACCCTATGAAAATCAAAAGAACTTATGGTTACACCTTTCAATGACCAATTTTGAGATTTCCTTTAAATAATTTCCCCAATCTGAAATCCCCTATTTGAAACTCATTTTACCAGCAGACTTGAAGAGCACAGATGTTTTAGAAGGACATTGCAAAGGTGATTGTCGAGTGAAACACTGCAAAGGTAAGCGTTGACCTTTTTCTGACAGTACGTTAACCTACTGCTCTCATTTCAGCCCTTGCAATAGATCCGGAAGTCGGTTTTTGTGGCAGATGGAGGCGAAAGCGTAAAATAGGACCGGTAGAGGCTGATGTTGCCGAAGCTAGACAGGTAGGTGAAAGTAAAACCAAGTCCAGGAACTATCTTCTATGCTGGGGATTCAAACTTTTGAATAAAAATATCCATAAAGTTATTACTCTTGAAAATGCAAAAATCTTAATTCTAGCAAAAAAGAGCATGACGTCATTCAACCTGTCGTAAAATTTTTGTACCTTAATTTTCTCGCCAACTTGATGACTAAAAAATTATGCCAAACTTGGAATATCGCTCATTTTTGTGAACTCAAAGCTTTATCGGCATAAGTTGTAATATTGCTAGTTTTCTAACTAATTTATAATCTATTTTGAAATTTTTGGCTCACCGCTCAGGCTTCAATCTCCCAAATTTATTTTTCGAAAATTAGCTAATCTGTGAAATTATCTTGGATTTTTCTGGAAGCCAGAATTTGTAAGACTGCTTGGGACAAAACTTATTCTTTTTTGATGAGCCAGAAATTTTATTTTGATGATTAATTTTTTTCGGTGGGACTTTTTTGTTTAGCTACATACTAAACAAATTACCAGGTAATTACTAGATACTTAGAAATTGCATAGCGAGGAAGCAAGGTAAGATGAAAGTGAATTTTTTCTATTCAGAGTTTATTTTAATCTACATATTTTCCCTCAGCCATTTTGTCTTGGTTAAATAAGTGATACCAAGTAATTTAAAGAGTTTGAAAAATCTGTGATGCATTATAATGGTAAACCGTGTTTTAGGCAGTTGGAACATCTTTTGTGGAGCATCATTTGACGATAGAGCAACTCAAAGATCTTTATCCGGACTCATTTATTCATGACGAATTTCCCGAACGGAGTGATGGATTGCATAGCGAGGAAGCAAGGTAAGATTTGTTCAAATCGACTTTTGAATTTTATCGCAAAAATCATGATGGTGCAGTAATTTTGTTTCATTTTTCTTATTTATACTTAGAGTGTCAAGTGCACTTTTTCTTTGACTATTCTAACACACATTTTTTTATGGGTATTGGACCTTTTGCACCAAATACCATATCTACCGTCCTGCCTTCGTCAGGGCCAAAACTAGTGTCGGGCGACGTCGCATCGCGGCACATTCGCATCGCACTTCGTAGAGCTTACTGTAGATGTGCAAAAGTGCCGCCAATAAAAACTATTCTACTTCAATTTCAGGAAGCGCCTGAAAGATGGAGGCGGTAATGTGCTACCTCCACGTAAGGAAGACGGTCTTTTTCATGTATTCATAAGACAATTTCACTTCAAATTTTGGCTATTGTTGACGGGTAAATTTCTAATAAAAAATTAGCAGTCCCCCAGAAACCCAAAAGAACCATTTTAGGTGCTGCATTTCTTTCTATAGCAGCCTATTTCGTACATTATGCCCATGGGTTCAATGAGCCGCTTAATCTATATTGTGCTTGCATATTATTGCTTGTTGTACTCTTTATGGGTTTGTTATCCCTATGGCAAGAAAAGAAAGCAAGAAAAGTGAGTTTTTCTAACCGTAAAGGAAAGAGAAGTGAAACCCAAGGAATTTTCTAGGTTGTAAAAGATTTCACCAAACTTCTACCATCAAAAGCGATTGTCATCAGAGATTGTGAAGAAAAGGAGATAAACATTGAAGAAATTGTTGTTGGAGATCTGGTCATCATCAGGTAGGATTTCACGGATTCAGAATTTATTCGTTCCATAAAAGATCATCAGAAGCGAAGCTTACATTCTTTGCGACATCGATAAATCCTTTCTTCCCATATGAAAATTCAAAAAAAGTTCTAGTAGTTCTAATTTTTTCGGAAGGAAATTTTCCGAAAACATGACGATTTCAAACTCTCTTGCTACGTAACTCATGTCAATCTAACACAGCATGAAAAAAAAAGAATTTCTAGACAATTCCACTCATTTTTATTCCTATTTAGTTCCGGTTCCCGCATACCTGCTGACATACGAATTCTTCAAACTAACTGCCTTACCATCGAAGTTTCAGAAGTGACAGGTAACCTACTTCTTATTCGACAAAATTTTCGCACGATTATGAAACGAAAATTGTTTTAGGGCAAACTTCACCAGTCGAATGTACCGCTGAAGCAGCCGCTCCACATGTATCAGTGTTTGACTCAAGAAATGTTGCCTTCAAGGGATCATACTGCACAGAAGGTGATGGACTGGGAATAGTTATTAGGACTGGGAAATTTACGGTAAGTTCCGCTAATGTGTAACCTATGTTTATCCCAGTCATGACAGTATCTAGCGCAAAAAAAAACAGTGATCTTCCCCGTTTATTTTGTTTAAATCGATTTTTTTATTGAAGCAGGCAATAGTAGGAAGGTGCACTTCATCACTATTGATGTTTGGGAGTTCGAAACATTTTTGTGCGGATGGGCAGTGGATCTTTCTTGAATGAAAACGCCCTCCTAAAAAATATTCGAAATTCCACACCCTCAAAAATGTTCTCACATTTTACTTACAAAAGCAAATCATTTGCACGTACCAGAGATCATACAAATCCACTTCTCAGGACGGGGGGGGGGGGGAGGGGGGAATTGATTACAAGATTTTGGCCTTTTGAAGTGCCAGCGTCCTTTGGAAAGCGAGTTGCGCACTCCTATGATGAACTTTCTGATTGAAAGCCAGGGCTCAGCACGAAGTGGCTTTTTCATTCTTCCGAAAATGAAGTTCCCACTGACTTCGCAGCTAACATACGACATCCCCTATGACCATTAATGATTAAAACAAGCAAAACGAGTAAAGAAGAATACAAGTGGAAAACGAAAGAACACGAAAATGACGGTTAGAACAAGTAATCATTTTCGTAGCATCGAATTGGCGGCATTTGTCCATCGCGCACCATCGCGCGCCTAGAGCAGCATTGCCGCCGCTACACAAAATTTGTTGAGGACTGTAACTAGGCGGGGAGTAGGGCGTTTGAGGAGCTTTAAAAACTGGTTTGTAGATATCTTAAAAATTTATTTGGAGTGAAATTTATGACTTTTTCTTTTTACAGCCACCTCAGGTGGCTGTCCAGGTGGCTGTAAAGCCACCTAATTCCTAAAAAAGTTTGCCACGACTTTAGTTCATGTAAGTTTTTCATAATTTTTTACACCTAGTTCCACCTCCCCATTGCCCATCTACACACCAATTTTGGTGTCATATCATCTCCTCTCTGCTGTAAACATGGCTTTTTTCTACCTCGGGGCGTATTTTTGAATTCCCGCATTTCCACGGATAATACACTGGAGCGGGAAATTGTTGGTTTTGCAAAGAATGGAGTTCTACAGGCAGTGCTGAGCACTTGTGACGTCTCCGGAAGATGGGTAGGCGGATTAGAAGGGGGAGGGGGGGGGGCAATTGTGTGCTCGCCAAGGACCCCGCAAAAACGATATCCCCTTTGCTTCCTACTTCAAAACGATATCCAGCCTGCCCAGTAAGCCACCTGTGCCGAGCCCTGTTGAAAGCACGATTGAGCAAACAAAAAAGGCCAATGACGAAAAAATTACTACAAATTCAAAAAAGTTGAAGGTTGATCAAGAAAAAATTTAGTGTCTAATGTACTGAGAATCTTGAAATTTTTCATACAATGTTCTACATATTGTTTTTTGATAATCGTTTTTCAAATGGCAACAAGGAAAATTAAAGCCATACTCTCCACTCAATAACCTTAGCTTCGTATCAGCAAGCTTATTTGATTTTTACCAGAACTTCCCGTTTCAGGTACTAGGTGGAATCGCCAATCTTCACACCCATTTGCCATCGCTAAAAAGCAAACTCCAGACAGAACTTCGCTCATTTGCTAATTTTATCACAGTGCTGGCTATTTGCATGGCTGTGGCCATGTTTTTGATCGGATGCATAGTAGCAAAGTAAGCTGACTTTGATTTTTCTGTACCGCAAATATCTCAAAAAATATTTCTCAGATTCGAAAACGTTTTGGACCACTTTGTGATCGGATTTTTGGTAGTAATCGTGGCTAATGTGCCTCAAGGATTGCCAGCTACAGTAATGTCGCAGTTACGGATTATAGCTCGTAGAATGGCTCAGAAGAATATTTATATCAAGAAGCTTGACCTGATTGGTAAGTTTGAGCACCTTAAAGAAGTCGACACTTCAAGTATTTATTTTTTCATTTTAGATGAACTAGGAGCAGCTTCAGTAATCTGTGCAGATAAATCAGGAACCCTAACAATGAATCAAATGGTTGTAACAGATTTATGGTATAACGGCAAGATGATCGGAGGTAAAATTCCGAGCCATATCAAGTTCTATATGTACAGAATGATTTCCAGGGGCAGGTGTGAATTTTAAACACCCACATATTCGAACGATGAAATCAGCCGTCAAAAATATCAAAAGTGGTGATCGTTTGGAAGAACCGCTTCCTGATATTCTTACAGGTAATTTACGATAATTTTTGGTCAATTTACAAATGGGTGGCAAAAAATTTTCCTACTATTATTCAGGAAAAAATTGTGGAATGTGATGTTGGTCTTGATCAAAGAGAATTTCTGGGTTAAACTGCAAAATTACTATAATTTAATGCAAAAAGACGCTTTTAATCATTGGGATTACGTGCACTTACTGTAAGGGTCTTAAAATTGGCTGTAGAGTTACCGTAGGGTTACTGTAAGCGCGAAAAAAAAGAGAACCTCTTGGGTAAGCAAGGTTATCTCATGCATGTTTCAGTGATGTCCGTTTGTAATCGAGCACAATTCGAACATGTTCGACGTTCAATGCGACGCGTGTCGACGATGCGTGCGCTGCAGAAGTCCGCCTCCGAAGCAATGCTAAGCGGTCCTGTCAAGAAAAGATTCACTATAGTGTAAGTAAATTTTGACATGCAATTGAAAAATACGAGTCATACAAGCGAAAAACTAATTTTTGAAGGTTTCGTAAGATTACGAAAAAGAGGTGTTTGACTCCAATGAAGATTTAGAATTCTGTGGCTGTTTCTTAAGAGCAAAAAGTCCAGGACCGGTTTTTGGAACAGAATAATCAAATATAGATCTCCTGAAACGGAAAGAACTTCAAATCTATTTATCGTCGTAATTTTCTGAACTATTGTTTTCATTTTCATTTATTTTTCACAGGTGGATGGTAAGTTTGATAATTTTTTTTCTACAGCGACACCCGTACTGGCCAAGTATCCGAAAGGCGACCCACACCACCAAGTTTGGAAGATCTTCCTTCACTAGAGCATGGTCTTCCCCCACTTCCCGACCGTCGTAAACACAGCAGTGAGGGAAGCAATTCGTCAAAATCACACCGTAAGCGTAAGCAAGACATTTCTTTCAAAAATTTAGGTCCCTAGATTACAAGAAGACAGCGAGAGGTGGGCAAAAATATACGAAAAAAATAAAGCATAAAAACATAATGTTTAACTATGCAATTGCAATCTTGAGTTGATTTTGATTCAATTTTGAATATAGAAAGTCTTTCAAAAATTACCGCAGTTGTTGCCATAAAAGTTTAAAGTTGCTTTTTTGTTTACCAATTTTCTGGAATTTTAATAAACAAATGATTTTCTTGAATTTGAAACCAAACAAAACTGTTTCAGATCATTCAACACCTTGTCGTCATCGTTCCAAAAAGACCAAAAACGACGTTTTTGGAATACCGAGTGATGTCGCTCTTGTAAAATATGTGGAGCAAAATGCTAGTGTAGAAGCTATTCGACAAAGATATCACGTGAGTGGTATTTTTATACGGAGTAAGGTCCTGAACGGATTGAGGCAGATGGAGGTGATTACTGGGGAAAGTTTCTAATTGAATACCCGTTTCAGTCTGTACACGAAATCCCGTTCAACTCAATTCGACGCTGGCAACTTGTCGTCTGTAGATGTTTAGCTGATATTCAGCCAGTAGAAAATCTTCCCGAACCGGAACCGGTAAAAAATACCCAACATTTAAAAAATTCTAATAAATTCCCCTCATTTTCAGACGGAAGCACGCTACGTAGTAATGATGAAAGGTGCACCCGAAGTAATTCTGGGCATGTGTAAAAGAGCCAGAATTCAAAAAGAAATTATTGAGATTGATGAAAAATTCCGACAAGATTGCCAGGTGAACAAGTTTTTATATAAGACTTCAATTTCTTCAAAAATCCCCGTTTCAGGCAGCATGGGAAGCTCTAGGAAATGCCGGAAGAAGAGTTATTGCTTTTGCACATGCTCATTTCAACGCTTCGATGAAAGCGAAATTTGGTCCGAAAGAGGATCGATGGCCTGATGATTTAATTTTCTTAGGGATGGCTGCTATTATGGATCCGCCAAGGTCAGTTTTTAGCTACTGACATTTTCTTACTTCTTGTCGCAAGTTTTTAAAAAGGGAATTCGTACAGGCTAACTAGAATTTTCTTCACAAATCATTTTTCGCCTCTAATTGCTTTCTGTAAGTATCTTTCCTCTGAAATTTGAAAAACACAATTTTTGGAGAGTGGCTATTAGAAGTGAGGCATGATCGCCAAACTCGATTTTTGCAATCGTTATTTCAACAGTTGCTTACCTAATACATGCGAAAATTTACTTTCGCACATTTTACATCTTTTCCAAAATTTTCTACCTGTACTTATGCCATGACACTCCTACCGTATATCTACCGTATAACTTCCAACTTTTTCCATAATTTGTACTTGTGTGTCGTGCTACTTTTACCAAACTACCGTAACTGATCTCTGAAATTTTCCACTTTCCAACTTTCTGAACGAAATTTTTTCTACTACTTGTATGTCATAAAACTTTTATTGTATATGTGCCATGATTGATTTCCTAATTTTTTCATATTTTTTATGAACAAATTATTTTTGGACTAGTGTGCTGTGCTACTTTTACCAAATTACTGTAATTGATCTCTAAAATTTTTTGCACTTTCCAACTTTCTCAAGTAATTTTTCCTAGTACATATATGTCATAAAACTTTTACCGTATATCTACCGTAACAATGGAATTTTCAATAGATTCCCAAATTTTTACGCTCTATACATAAAATTATTTTCAGGCCTGAAACAGCAGCTGCCATTCAACAATGCAAAAGCGCTGGGATTAAGGCAAAATTGTTATTCTTTTTGGTTTTTCAATTTTTTTTGAATTTTGCGCCAAAATTTCTTATATCTCACAATTCATTTTTAGGTATTCATGATCACAGGAGATCATCCTACAACGGCAAAAGCTGTAGCGACACAAATTGGATTGATTGGGGATTCGAACGGTAAGGTGAGTATAGAAAAATTCACTTCTTTTTTGATTCTTTCATTTTCACCACCTCTTTTACTTTTTTCTTGGACTTTTTCAATTGCACTTTTTACTGGAACTTGAGTTCTGCGATCATATTTATCAAACTTCACGATCGATTCATTCATTCTATTTCTTCTTGGAATTAGAGCTCATTATCTTCAGTTGGCTCCAGAGTAGTGCCATAGATTGAATTGAAGTATTCAGGTCTATCAACCATCTGTACAGCCCAAAATCAAAACAAATTCAAAAAAAGCTCTTTTTACCTACCGTATAGCTGCCAAGGCTTTCTTCAACTCTGACTTTGCAAAAAGCATAGTCATAGAAGAACGATTCCAACAAAAAGGCCACGATCATCACATAGCAGATAAGCTAAAACGCGCTCTGATGCAAAAAATCTGGCCTAATAGCAAAAAAAAGCGCCAACCTCCGAACAAAACCAAGAAGACGGATAGTCAGGCTCGAATGTTCCTCCGCTCACGTTGCTCCAATCATTTTCCCATTCGTGACGAATCAAGAACAGCGCAAAGGAGCAGACACCAAACAAAGCAATTTGGCAAATGCTTTCGATAAGTACCCGGCACTAAAAAAGCACTGAATTAGAAATCAGTGAAATTTGTTAATGTAAAACTGCAAATACTGAGAGTTGACCCTTTTGCACCGCTACAGTAGTATGCTACAGTACGCCGCGCCAGGACGTGGTCAACACGCTCTTTTGCTGTGAATTCTGGGAGAAAGAAACATTATTATCACAATCTAAGTTGAAATGCAGCGATGCCAATGCCCAATCTCCCTTGAGACCATGCGAGATTACGGTAGCGGTCTCATTGGTGCAAAAGAGTCCGCACCCACAAAAAAGAAACCTACTCTTGGAGGTGGAGCAAGATTTATGTAATGGTGTAGGACGCTGAGGGCTATGCCAAATATGCTGACCACAAGGCAAACGATACAGACTCGATAAGCGTTCGTCTGCGATAGACCAATGCTGCCAAAACCGAAAAGATCGGGGCTCGAGATCTAAAAAAAATTAGATCGAATTGTCTTGGAATTATACGATATTTTATACAAAATATGCAGAATTTTTGATCAGTTTTGCATTTCGCGAAGATGAAAAATAATTAAGAGTGATGTACGTTTTTTCTAATACAATTCGCGCAAAATCTTTGCAATTGCCCACCTACCGTAATTCATCGTATTACGAAAGGAATACGGTAAGTGGGCATTTCCGAAAAAAAGCGCAGAAAAACCCGGTTCACCGACAATCGTGGATTCCACATTGACCACTTTACACTTTTTCTCTTACTCTTTCCTATACATATACTCTACTCTCTCATATACTCGATACTCATTCCGGTAGATCAAGAGGAGTAAAAAATGAATTGGCCTAGCAAAAAAATCTGCCTCATTATTTTTTTGTAAGACGCTATACATAAAAAAGCGGGAACTCGTGGGTCAACTTCTTCTTTTTATTTGCACAAAATTTTGAGCTTGTGAATGTTCTTATTTTTTGAGATAGTTTATTCTTACCTGTAAGCAATTCACGATATTATTTTCAAGTCTGAGAGCTCTTTTCTCGTACTCAGGCTTGACTTTCTTAGTTGTCTTGGTGCTTGAGCTCTTCGAGGTCACTTTATTCGTGTCTTCTTGAGACTTCGCCTTTACACTAGACTCTTTCTCCTTTACTTCCTTCTTAAGCTCCTCCTGCTTGTGCTCTTTCACATTCGTCTCCTCCTTTACTTCTTTGAGATCTCTTTTAGCTGGTGCATGCTCCTTTTGGGCTTTCCCAGTTGTCTTTAGTACGGTAGCTTGTTCATGAGACTTTTCTGCTGGGAATGACTCAGCCTTGTTCCACATTACTGGTAGTGCTTGGGGACTAAGAGCAGGCTGTTTAGAGTGTGAGGCTGACTTCGATTCTGCTGCAGGTTTCGGTGTACTGACAAGGTCGGGCTGCTCCATCACATTCAGTTGGCCTTTGCGGCGTCTGAGATTCTCTTCATGTGCTTCTTCTAGACTCTGATCCTTCTTTGTCAATACCTGAGAACGCGCATTTACGTCAATTGCAAACTGTTCAAAGTGTAAAGAAAAAGCTGGAAGGCTCATCAGGCAAATCTGGGTATATTTTATCACGTGGTGAAGACTGGGAGGCTTCTCTATGCTACTGCTCGAGCAGTAGCTCACATGATTCGTTCGTGGTCGAGAAGCATAACTCTACTCTCACCCAGACCGTATCTTGTACGTTCCAAGTACAATGACTGATGGCTAAGGAAAAACACGGTCTGGGCTGGAAATTAGTGCTAATTTTCTCGGATCAAAATATGGGTTGCCGCTTGTGCAACGACGGAGGGAGTCTTCCTATCAGTATCTAAATAACTTCAGGTATTCAAATTTGGCTTCTAAACTAAGAACAGTCCATGTTTTCTTATCACAGTCTAAGTACAATAATTTGATGTTTTTTTAAGTTCTTCTACAATTTCCAAGTGAAAGTCAAGCAAATTTCCGAACAAAATACAGAGAAATAGACAGGTATGAGAGGGGTCAAAACTAAACAAACATGATCGAAATCATTGGGTTCCAAAAGTAACATAACCACCACTAATCAAAACACACTTGCATCTCATCTTTGGTTTTCCTCCGACGAATAATATGATCTGTGCATGTCACATTACCTCTCATTTATGACAATAATGTAACATAAAAAAATCGATGAAAGTTCAAAGTTCAAAAGTAGGCGTGATTCCTCCGACGAATAATATGATCTGTGCATGTCACATTACCTCTCATTTATGACAATAATGTAACATAAAAAAATCGATGAAAGTTCAAAGTTCAAAAGTAGGCGTGATCTTTGGAGGTACCCCGCCCCTCCATATCCTCATTCTTTCACCTCTTTAATTCAAAATTTCTCTTGAATGAACCATCGCATTGCTCATCCAATATCAACGACATTCAAACACTCACCGGACTCATTCTTGGGTGTCGATTTGGCTCAGCGGTCTTCACACTTTTTTCAGCGTCACGTAAACTCAGGTCCTAGAACAGTAAGTTTCTCATTCTTACAAATTTGAGAGGATACTACATAAAAATAGGCAACGCAAAGAAGACACAACTTAGTCTCTTTTACTCATTGTGAGAGGAAAGTATTGAAAAAGTACTATTTCAAAGCCTTTGTAAAGTGCTTCAGCATAAATTACCGTATTCAAAGGTGGTATTGCAAGCTTCATAGTACCTAGACATTCGCTACGAGACTGAAAGAGATTAATTTGAAAGCAGTTAAGTAAGGAATCACCAAGGTTCTTACGGTAACTTGACGATTTTCACAGAATTTGCCAACATTTATGAGACGGAATAGCACCACGACAGCCACGATGATTTGTAGAGCTTTAATGATGTAGATTACGCGCATCTGAAAAAGTTTCATGCACAACGTTTCCGAGGGGAAGATTTTTGTAGAAGATCCCTCAGCTTACTACTAAAAGCGTTAGCAGACCAGTTGCTATGCGTGGTGGGTAGAAACTGAACTGAAAAAAGGATAGGATGGACTTTGCGTTGGTATAAACCCCTCAGATGACAAGAATGCTGATAATGATTACGAAGTGATTACAGTTATCCATTAAGTTCAGAGAGGATGAGGGGCGTGGCAGCTGAAACCCGGCGCTGAAACTTGGTACAATTATGGGCGGGGCCGTACCGTATCACTTCCGCAATATTGCCGGTTCCAATAGATAATTCCTAAGAAATAAATCTCACCTCGTACTTTGATCCCTCCTGATTTTTGTCCAGTCACACTTCTTTTATGATAGCCGAGCTTGATCCCAATTCCAACAAAACCGTTTGGAAAAAAATCCAAATGGTCAGACTCCGTCCGTGACCACGCCTCCTCTTAGTTTTATTTTCTTCTTTCTGGGAAAATTGTACATAACCCACTGTGAATGAATTTACGCATTTTAGGGTTCTGCTACATCTGTCAGCCAATCACAACCGAAAGCCAACCCTAATCGTGATTGGTGTATGGTCACTGGAGAACAGCTACAAAACTATGATCAAAATGAATGGGATGTACTTCTGAAGCACAAATACATTGTATTCGCGAGGTAAGCTCACACACTTCGACCCAATTTTTTTTACATGAAATCCAGTTGGGAGGACTGAACTATGGCACTGCCCATACAGCACCTCATTTCATTCAATCGTGGCCAAATTATTCACCTCGAAACTCCAGCCCATACCTTTCCACCGTAATCAAGGATGGTGATTGGTCAGTTCGCTAAGAGTACGGTCTGGGCTGAAGTTTACAGTCGATTTTCTTGGCCAGAATAAATCATATGAGTTTCCACTTGGGACAAGACCTTGGTTAACGGCTCTCAACCAATGCCCATATGGGAAGTTCAGTTACCCATATTTCAATGTACGATGCCTTAACATGTTCTATTCAGGACTAACCCCGAGCAAAAATTGCTGATCGTGCAAGAAGTTCAACGACGTGGCGAAACCGTGGCGGTTACCGGAGGAGGCGTTAATGATGCTCCAGCGCTTGCACATGCAAATATTGGCATCGCTATGGGATTGTGCGGTAAGGGGGGACTAGCTTTGCTGTTTTGGAAATTGGAAACTCTGCGGAAATCGAATTTATTGAAGGAAGCGATATTGCAAGGCAGACAGCAGATATCGTGCTGCTGGACGACAATTTCGCTTCGATTGTGATGGGAATCGAAGAGGGTCGACTGCTCTTTGATAACTTGAGGTCAGTTACACTATGTCTGAGAAACAAAGAAAGGTCCGGCGAAGAGCAGGGCCAAAAATTTGGTGCCTCTACCATCTCTTTTTCACTGGATCATGGACACACAAAAGTACGTATTTTTATTAAATTTTTCTTCCATCAAGAAACCAGTGATGAACATTTTGTCCTATTTTCCTTATGCGATTCCATCATCTAGTGAAACAAACACAGAAAAGGGCTCCATCCTTCGCCACGTCCCTTTTTTGTCGTTTGCACTGTTGACCATCCAGTTCTCCTAGAGATCACTCTACTACTATAAAACATCTTTTGTTATTTAGACTATCCCTGGCCTATACCTTCGCTCATCTTTGGCCCGAAATTTTCCCTATTATGCTAACCTTCATCTTAGGACTACCATTGGGTCTATCCCCAATGCAGGTGAGTCCACTCCCACACACCCTATTTCTGCTCATTACCGATGGTACACATTTCTCAGATTTTGTCTATCGACCTGGCCTCCGAAATGCCGCCAGCGGTTTCATTGGCCTATGAACAACCGGAACAAGACATTATGCTGACACGACCAAGAAGTCGTAAAACTCGTCTGCTTTCCAAAAACTTACTTGTTTATGCTTATCTATTTGCTGGAACTGGTATAACTATTGGTTGTATAGCAGCGTATTTGAGCGTATACTGGTGAGCATAGCATTTTATAGGCGTCCAGGCAGATTTGGATATTTGGACTCCTTTATGGACACTAATTTAGAGGGCTTAACTAAGCAATTATTCAAGAGTCAGCTCACATACTTCATTCCTAATTGGAAAATTCAACTCTAAACTTCAGCCCAGACCGTAATTTACAGGACCAATCAGCGCTCTGATTACGGTCTGGGCCGAGGTTCAAAGCAGCATTTCTCGGCCGTAAGTAAACCATACAAGCTGTCGCTTGAGCCATGGCTTGGCTAAGGCCTCTCAATCACTATCACATAAAAAGTCCAGATATATCCAAGTTAGCTGGGCACTGCTCTCCACAATAAAGGGAAAACTCAACAGTTCCTGTTTTAGGTACCACAATATCACCTTCCAAGACCTGCTTTTTACCGCTGAACACCATTGGAAAGTCGGAGCGGCTAATTTCACAACCAGTGACGGCGTAGTTTATGATGAGAATCAACAATTATTTATCAAAGGCCAAGCAGCAGCTGCTTGGCAAATAGTGCTAGTCATGTCACAGGTAGGAACCCGCCACTCTAAAGGAAGAAAGATGAATACACATCATTTAGGTATTCCATCTTTATAATTGCTCAACTCGACGTATTTCTGTGTTTCGACATGGGATTACCAATGTGATGTCTATATTTGCTGTGATTGTAGAGGTATGTTTGAGAAGGGCGGCCGTTTCGTACAACGGTATCCACCAACCACCCTGAGTGACCTGCTCAAAAAAAACCGTCCACACAATTGAGAACGGTGGAATTTTGATGCGGCACGATAGCAAGGCCATCTAGCTAAATAGCTGCCCAAGTCTCAATGTAAAAGATATACTCCGAAGTGGGAGATTCGCTCCAAAAGGTGGATGCTGCTGAGGTCGCCACGCCCACCAGGTAGTGTGAAAGGGAGGTGGTGCAGGAGGAACCAAAGCCCTTGCCGACTGTATCCAAGGGGAATAGTGGAAGGCAGAGGAGGCTCCGCCCATCGCTCCGCCCACTGGATGCTCCCATTGTGTGTTGAGCAAGAATGGTGGATGGACTACCAGATAATGATCAAATTTGATGGATTAAGAGGTTAAACCATGAATTTGGAATTCGGAAAATGGACAGTAAAGATTCTCAAACAGGTTTTCAGGTACCAGGATGATAATAAAAGTAGTACCATGTCATAAACCGAATAAAAATCGATTCAAAGCGGGAGAACATAAGCCGAAAACGAAGTTATAAAGTAATTTTAACAATGTTTTCAACATAGAGCCTAATACTACATCCTGGATACTCAGATCCAAAAAGGACGTAAAATGCAAATGCAAACTAAAGCTTCACAGCTCAGATTTGTAGTGTGAACCAAACCTGGACAACTTTAACCTGCTGGCAGTTGTCGAGGCATAGGATCGGAGAAGTGGGACAATATCTAATATAAATGGGGGAAAACCAATGAAAACTAATCTAACTGTTATAACAGAAAAGTTTTGGTGACTTTGCCTGCTTTTGCAGCTTTTTGCCCGAGTCTGATTCAACTCGAAAGCTTTCGGTAATTAATTTGACATCTACTTTCGCAAGTTCACCTAATTAAAAAACGACTTTTCAACGTTTTTCTCGCAAGTTTTTCTCACCCTCTCCCCCCCCCCCCCCTTCTCTCTCCCCCTTCCCCCTCCTCCCCCCCCCCCCTCCTCCCGAGTAAAATATTTATTGGAGTTAACAACGAATAAAGTTTTCACTTCAATTATGACTTTCTTGCTCGTCAGACGACTGGCTTGATCCTGCAAAGGTCAAGTAATCGGCTATCGATTAGCACAAATGCAACTAACGCAGTGACTATCGTAAAAGATTGAGGAAATTATCTCAGGAAAATAAAATGCAATTTAGAGTAAGTTCTCCGCGAAGCAATTTAAGAGTTCATGAAATATTTGAAATCGAGCCGAAGCTTTTACTTCTCTAAAAATTGTTCATCAATTACAATCTTCAAAAGGGCGAATACAAAAATGTTTTGCGAGCTGAAAGGCGGATCCTGACATTACTAGGTAATACTGAGTCTGGTTTCGGGCTCATTACCAACCATCCACGTCGTTGGGCGTGGAGACCCCAGCCGCATCCACCTTCTGAAGCGATTTTCTCGCTTAAGAAAACATTTTTTGCAGCGGAACTTGGGCAATCATTTAGATAGCTCGCTATTATGCTGTATCAAAGTCATACCAACCTGAGATTTGTGTGGACGGTGTCTCTCAAGCGTCGCGCGCGCGCAAAGTTCTCTCCCTTCCATTTGTTGGGGCAAAAGCCCGCGGCCAATAACGCGACTGCAGTTTTGCATGGAAATGCTTTATACGATTGTATTAAATTTTATTTTACGTCCTCCATAACCTGTTTTCCAGATTCTACTACTGGTGATGTTCGTCTACACGCCGGTTAGCCAGTATTTCATGGACATACATGCCCCGCCTCCACATGTTTGGGCGATAGCTCCTCTTGTTGGACTATATTTATTAGCGTACAATGAAGCTCGCAAATACCTCGTTAGGAATTATACGAAAAATAAGCTTATTAGACTATTGAAATGGTAGTTGTTGTTTATGACGTTTGCCAAAACGCCAACATAAGGTATGCTCTACGTTTACGGGTTCGAAGCTTTTTATGCGAGTTCAGCTTCAAGTCCATTTGTAGAGTTATACATTATTTTGGCTTTATTCACCATTTTTTCCAAAATTTGAAAACTGAAAGCTGACAGCAGCATGATTTCAACAAGATGCGCAAAGTCTTTCCAGCTGACGCAAACCAATTGCAAATTAATCCAATGGTGATATGTGCAACTGCACAGAACGCGCGGTTGCCGCAATACTCCAGTTTCTTTGGCGCAGCCCTACTTGATCCACTTCACCTGTTTCATCCATTTCGCGACTGGTCAATTCAGTGAACTGACCAATGGCGAAGTGGATCAAGTGGATCAAGCGGAACAAGTGGCGTGTGCTGCTGGCTGAAATTTCAAACTTGAGATATGCTCTTCTGACTTCTTTCTTTTTCTATCTTTGGGTATCAAGACATTCAAAAAATTTTACAAGCAAACGCGTGTTGTGTGCAATTGCGTCTGTATCGGATCGTGACTGCGAAAAAACCACGCTAGCTTAGTGGTCGCAAAGTTCCGTCCAGAGTTGCCGGTGTGCCGGCGCAGTGCCAGCGCCGTGTCAGCATCGTACCGGGACCCACACGTTGCGTCTCGTGCTGAGTCAACGTTCTAGCAGGACGCCAGTATGGCACCGGCACGGGCAGCTCCAAATGCCAAGAGCCCATATATTGCAGAAGAATGTGTCAGCTGGAAATAAACCTCTATTTACAGTCCCTTTCATACTCCATTCAATAAAAAACCATTCCACATCATGATGGCGCAAAAAATCAATATTTGGTTTGTCATGTTTGTGTCATGTCCGTCATCGCCTAGAGATTTTTTTTTATCATAATAAAACATGACCAAATCACCGGTCTCTCATCCCCCAAAATCGACTATTGAAATGGATGGAAGAAATAGCCGTAGGTGCTCTTGTACATATTTGATTAATGCACCATTTGACGTCGATTACAGTAGATTAGGTGGCTTTTCCATTCACAAGTTAATCGATTTTGTAATGTGCTCATCCCGTTATTCCCCTCATGTACAAATTTCTACTGCATTTCAAATGTGCCTTTATTTTCCAAATTTTCTCCATAGTCTTTTCCTCGGGCCACCCTGAATATGGGTGGGCATCGTTAATTTTTGATGATTTGCTAGTCTATTGCATTTACATGTGCGTGATTGATAAATTTTATTTGATGATGTAGAAATATTTTACATTGATAGTGTATTGGGCAGAAGTCTACCAAAGATAATAAAAGTGCACAAGAAAATACTGAAAACTGGCAACAAGCCAAAAATGGTGTAATTGCACATAGTGTAATTGCACATTTCGATACGATACAAGAAAGTCAGCATGATCACGTTCAAATTTTACTCTCTTCTCGAGAGAGGACGGTCACACTGATGGCAATGGACCTAATGAACCCTACAGGGAGGAAGAGTGGTTAGAAGGGGAGGGGGAGGGGAGAAGTGTTTGTAGACGCCTTCGGAATAAAATTTGGATCATTCCGCCAAATGACGGTAAAATATCTTTCAAAGCCTAAAAATCAAGAAAAATCTTTTTTTCCACTTGAATTTTATGCACTAATTTATATCTTAACTCATTCGTACAGCCACTCTGTCCCCCTCCGATAACCAATCTTGATATCGATAAAGAAGGTAGCATTATATCCAGACTTCCAAAGGGTACAAGTGTAAATCACAAGCTCAATGATAAAAGACAACGGTACGTATATTATGCTACAATGAGGTCGTCAGCCCTTCAAATCTGGCATTACCGGCTCGAAAAATCACAATAATAAATAGACAAGTCTCAAAAAAGAGTTACGATAAATTAAGAAAAAGAATTGTAATACATGCAAAACAAGCACATAACAGAGAGCCAGAACGCCTTACCTCGACTATGAAGCTTCGCTACAATGCAACCTAGTCAAGATACTAACTGCAACTTTTGTGTTCCTAAATCAACTTTCTGTCATTGATTCCAAGCGCCTTGAGACGTTCCACTTCTTCACGAAGCGCCTTCAAGTTGGCCTCGGGTAGATCTGCAAGAAACCATGAAAGAACAGAAGCAAAGGTTGAAAGCGAAACAAACTCACGGCAACCTTCAGTCACAGGTAGTGGAGTTTTCGGAGGTGATGGAAGCGGTGTTCGAGCGGTAAGCAAGTGTGCTAAGAAACGATCAAACTCCTCAAATGGAACGCAGTCATGGAGAGTCTCAAGCGATCGTAAAGGCGGCCAGAATCGTTTGATCTCTGGAACGCAAGAGAAATAACTTTTTTGAGGAAAGCTTGCAAAAACTGTAAAAATAATTGTATTCAATGTAATATAAACAACCCACCTCCAACCGAGATATCATCTTCCGCTTTGAAAGTTTGTAGGCGTGGCGCGCTAGAAGATCTGGCAATGACGGCCGTGGACATGACAGCTGGTCCGGGGAGGTCTGAAACTAAAAAATAACACACAATAAAGAGCCCTAAAACCAGCGCTCAAAAGAGTCCGAGGGAATTTCATACAAATTTTACAAACTCTAAATAGACAAACAATTCTATATCGTCTCTATCGGAAGAAGCAAATCACTATCAAAGGTTAAAATATGTAAAGATGGAAACACACGTTGGGAAAGCAACATAATGTACTGAAAGTTGGCCTTACATGTCTGCCGACGATTCTTGTCTGCATGTTCACCTCCGCATTTTCCCATAAGCACATTCGTGCTGATCAGACGATTCTGGATTTCCGCTGATGCGCCTGGAGTAGCAAGGGAAGATAATCTCGTGATTTGAGGGTTGAAGGATAAAGAAACAGAGAGATAGAGAGAAAGGGAAATAGAGAATGATGTGCGAGATAGAATTCGCCGAAAGGAGAAAAAGAAAATAAAGGAAGCTTCATTAGTGTGCATATACGCGGAAATTCAACTCTTTGGCGCTATTCCATATTTGAGTTCCCGAAAAAATTTTCAGTTCATCCAAAACTTCGAGATGTGGAAAAAAATGGTACCACATATTGTCTCGGTGACAGTGTCACCGTCCTGTGCGGCTCAATTTTGGAGCGCCCGCCTCGCTTGAAACTGCGCCGCGTCTGCAGCGTTTTTGGGCATTTTCACGTGCCTGAGCGGCTGGAAGGCGTCAGAAAATGCCCGAAGGACACGTCCTCAGACGCGGCGCAAAGTCCAAGCGAACGGCTACATGGGACCCGAGCCGCATCACCTGGCGACACTGTCATTGAGACAGAATAGCGCAACAACTTTTATCAGCCATAGAACCCTACTGAGTGGAGCTTCAACAAAATAAAATGATCAAATTTAAAAAAAAGACATGGAATAGCACCAACAATCAAGGCAAGATTTTGATGGACAAATCGATTAAAATCTAACCTGTTAGTAGATTCACTGTATGATGTTTGAATCTATACGGGAATCTTGAACGACGAGCTAGAACAAACATGATTAATTACAAAAAATTTTCTACTGATTAATAACTACTGTTCGGTAACACCAAGCACAAACACCTCTCCAATTCTTTAAGCGTTCTACTCAACAAACAAGAGGATCCTATACACATATAAGGATTTTCTTCCAGCCTTTAACATTGGCCAAAAGGCATGTAGGTCCCAAGTTTTTTCTTCACACAATTCTACTTGTATGAACAAATCTAGCTGCCTGAACAGAATGATACGAAGAGTAGCTCCCAGCGCCCATCAGTGAGCGAATAAAGAGCTTTGCTATAATTCGTCACTGAATTTAGCAGTTAGTAGAGAGTGTTGCTTTTGGGCAAAATGTCACACCACAACTCGTCCACGTACATTTATCCTCGACCAGAATATCCTTGTATGGCATTGCTGAAAATAGTGCATGCTTACAAAGGGTGTACAAAAATCTACAAACGCTAAAAAATTAATTTGGGAAAAGTTAGGACATAACATAACACCACCCCCTATTCCCTTCCTCTGTTTCACTGGAGTCGGCGGCTGGAGGGCGGGGCTTCGGTCGATTAGAAAGCACGTAAGCATGGAAGATGCATATGTGCATCTCCCTCGCGACGTGCTCTCTAATCGACTGAAGCCCCGCCCTCCAGTCGCCAACTCCATTGAAACAGAGAGTAGTTCAACGACATAAACAATGCATGAGACCAGCCAGTTGGCATACACGCATTAACTCAAATACCATATTATCTGTGAGCCGTTTTCGAAATGATGCGATCTGTAGCGGGACCGGCGCTCCAAACGAAACGCATTTGGCATTTGGTGTCGCGTACGCGTCCTCTCCTATATCAGCTGCCAGTGCGCACTATTCAGTACGCTAGTTCCGCTACAATTCTGAAACGGCTCACAGCTTACATATGGCGCAGCTTTGACAGCGTGAAACTAGCATTTTTGTGTGCTGTCTGCATAAGAAAAATACATAGGCTAGTTCGAGACAAAGGTGGCTTCCCATGTAGTGAGGCGTGCGCGGGCATACGAGCTCAAACTGTCAAAGATTCTCGAGGCCGCCTATGCACTGGCTTCACAAAATGATTTAGATCATTTATAAAATCGTGACAATGGATATTGCTGCGGACTTTGCACCCACAGGAGCATAAAACACTCATACAAGAAGGCGTCGCCTCGACGTTCAGCTCAGTCACTTCCAATATCCAAATATTATCACAAGTATGCAAAAAAACCATTTGACTACAGACGAAAACTGAGGAAATGCGATTTCCCGAGGTGGAGTGCGTGTCGCGCGGTTCGCGCCATCGTCACGATTTTTCAAATGCCCTATACAACCGCTTTCGTCAGGGATCAGCCTTTACTCATGCCATTTGCCCGTTGTTGGTCTGAATGGAGCTTATCAAAAGCATAATAACGTAGCGAAAAACGCATTCTAGCAAAAGGTATAGGCAATTCATCGCACGCAGAGACATGCCTTCACTGCGGACGCTGTCATCGTCTCTCACATCAAGCGCCAGCTTTCATTTCTCTAACCGTCTGCTGTCTCTACCAAACAAGAATCACCTGACCGTACGCAGTATCGTCCAGTCTCTGCATGCGATCCTACAGAAAATAACCAAAAAGGGTGATTTCAAACGAAGTGAAACTGTCGCAGGTGTCCATATAAGGCAGTGGTCACTTCGAAGACGTGAGCTTCTTATGCGGGAAGTGATGGAAGTCTTTACTGAGTGACTGTACATCCCAATCACTTCACTAGAGACTGCCCAGATCTTGCAATCTGTCGAGTCATTGCTTCCCAAGACAGCATTCGAAGCAAGCTCAGCCCAACCATTTTTTAAGGCAACAGCGATGATAGCATGAGCGGGAAAAAGGGAAAAGCTTTGGAAAAAAGTCAGTCTAGGTCACGCCAAAATAAAAGATATCAGCAATAGGTTATTTAATCATGTGGTTTAGATAAACCTAAAAAAAAGGCAAAACGTCTCCCAAAACTCCCAACATTGGAAAGACACATACATAGGAGTTTCACAAACATGCAAGCCACTCGTCTTTCATTCGTCACTTTTGTCCATTAATCCATGTCCGTGAACCAAGCCTTCATTATTTGCGTAATGTTGTCGTTAGCAAACTTACATCCGCTTTCCCTACGTTCTAGCTGCTTTTCCTCGGCTTCATTGATGCTATTCATAGCTTTTCTAGTCTCATCGAGTATTTCCTTAGCCCACTTTCCTCTTCCAAGACCCACCGTGACTTGGCAATCATCATCGCCAATCGAAACCTAGAGTGTGTGTAAACTGGAAGGAAAGACGCAAGTCTTGGAAAGGGATAAACACTTATAACTTGAACTCTTGTCACATACAAGGTAGATTGAAAAGAAACAACAAAAAATATAAGAGAAAAAGTTCGACAAGAAATTTTTTTTTAAATTCAGTAATCGCGTCATGAATAAGTTCTAGCTAACCCACCTCACTGGGACTCTTCAGCACACCATTTCCTACTGGAGGTATCCGCCAATCTTCTATATCCTCACGAGGTCGATCTCCTTCTTCACTGGCCTTTTCGCCTCCTGTAGCATGTCTTTGCCTTTTAGGTCCTTTTTCATCACCTGTTAATATGTTTGCGGTGAGACAGGAACTTGGACCACGGCTATGTTAGAATGCAAACATCACGAGAAGCAGCGAAAACACACGATTTCACTCCATGCCATGCAATGTCACATATGCAAAAAGATGAAAGAGAAAGGACAGAGAAGAGAAGTAGTAAATAGAGGGGGAAAAGCTTAACGAATAAAACCTGACTGAGTTGTTTGGAGCTGACTTCATCCAAAGCCACAAGATTGACTGAGTGGTCATTTAGATCGTCTTCAGAATCATGCTGCTGGGATTTTGAAGATGAGCTCACCAGCCTAAGACGGTAAGGTAATGCGTAATAACACAGTATACGTCATTTTATTATACAAAAAATTACGGTGTCACATATGGTAGGCGATCTAATGCAAGCAAAAAGTTGATGTCATTTACCCAGATGCTTCGGCGGCCATCTGGTCCTCATTTGTACTGGCCACAGAGACAAGATCATCAGCAATATTAGTAGGCACTGTCATGAAGATTGGTGGCGAATCAGTGTTTCTGTCCTAAACTCAAGAAGTTAACTTGAAGACTTTAAAGAATTCAAGTAGAAATTTCCAGCTAGTAAAATCTAACAAAAACAAAAGAGAAGTCACTTGTTGTTACATGACGAACATCGAAGAAAAGAAACCAAAGAATTCCAACATTTATTACCTCTCCCGAGTTTGGTGATACGGAGCCATTGAAGTTCCCTTCACGCGAATGACTCTTCGTCATTCCGTTTGATTTACTGCAAATGCCAATAAAAAACGGAAATTCTAAAGAGTAATAGAACACTTACTTCAATCGACTCTCATATATTCGCTCTTTCTCCGTCAAAAAGCAAGGATATAGCCCGGGAGAGAACAACAGCTCGATGTGGAATCGTTCCATACCAGTTGCAGTGTTGTCAGCTCGACTGTCTTCGTAAACCATCAAGACAACCTTAGCCATCTCTTGTTCTCCAAATATGATAAAAAAAGAGGTCTTAAAAAATTTTTTACCTGCGTCATATAATTGAATTCAGTCACGCCCGACAAAAAGTTCATAGCCCGTTGCCATTTCTTGTCATCAACCTAGAAAGAAAAGTAATCCAAAAACTTGGAATGCAGATGACTTTTGATAATTTTGAAGTTGAGATAAAGTTACCAAGAAGTTATTCATAAACTCACAGAACAAAGTCCACCATAGCGGATAAGGTTCATCAACGTATGGATGTGACTTTCGCTGGTGAAATAAAGCCTGGTCCGTACATGACGAAGCGGTGTTGCAATTCCTTGCGAAGCTCTGCAAATAAGGACGCAAATAACGAAAAAAACCGAGGATTTGCAGAGCCAAAAGGAATTCGATGCGACATCAAAACATCCAAACAAGCATTGCAAACCTCGGATCAAGTCTTGTTTGACTTTCGTCCTCTTCTGAGCTTTCAATACATCGATGCAGATCGTTTCTGATTTTCTTAAGTAGTGGCGTGCAAACCCGCTGCGCAACACAAATCTTGTTCTCCTTACGGATTCCATACTCCTACAACGGCAGATGGCATATAAGAAGAAATATAGAAGAATAATTAAGCTATAGAAAGGAACGGACTGTAAGAAATTACGCTAACCTGCGGCACAACTATATCAGCCATGTTCTTCACACAAAGGTACATTCGTTCAAATTCGCCTTCGTTGTTGATGCAGAGATCAGGATTATGCTCCATATCATACTAAAAAGGATAATCGATGGATAGCGTAGATGCGTGATGATTATGAGAAGCGACTCACCTTTATGTTATCATAAATGTCAGGAATCTTCGATATGTCATACTCTACATCACCTCCTTTGTTTTCACGTCGGAACTCGCGTAACTCTTTGCTCCATCTTCGTTCGGCAAGATCCCAAGTTTCATTTAGGTACAAGGTACGGTCTAAAACAAAATCGTGTAATCTCTAGCAATTGCAACTTAGTAAAACGAAGAGGCGATGGCTCCAGACTCACTTGGCCTGCTATATCTGTTGTTGTTGATGATATCGCACATTCGCTGCACATAGCCAGCAATCTCATGGCACATCTTTTTGGGATTTTTGATGAATTCCATAGCATTGTTGATTGACTTCAGACCATCGGGGTTCAATGCTTTGTAGTCTTCTGGAGTCCATTCACGATCCACCTAAAAGTATAGTCCTTTACATCAAGGAGTGAGTATAAAGACAAACAAACTTGGTAATGCAAAGAAGAATAGCAAAAAATCAAATTGCTTTTTGCAAAAAGGTCATACCTGCAACGCTTGATGGAGATATCCTTTGAGTTCGGTTTGGAAATCCCGTGCATGACAATCATCGTCCAGAAGACCATCCGTATTAGCAGATTTCACCATTTGCATCAAAATCGGAGTCAGTTCACCTTCCAACGCTAGCATACCCTGCATATCAACGGAGTTTCATCCAGAAATCATAAGAAAAACAACAAAAGAAACACAGATGAATGGGAACAAGTAATGCATGTACAGAATTGTTGCATATGTACCTTTGCAAAAGCAGCTGCTGTCATCTGCACCCGTCCCTCATCTGAAGCATATATTTTGAGATCATGACGATATGTAGAATGAAGACGCAAGAAACCGAGACCCTGCAAGTTGTTCTTCAGGGAAGTTCCACAATTAGTAATGATGACAAGCAAAGTGAACACATATTTTGTCAACAATTGCGTTTGAGCACTCCGACTAACAATAATGCTTCAAGAGGAAAACTTCTCGTTTTTCTAATTGGCAAACAATCTGCACAAACTAGCAGGAATCAGCTGCTCCAAAATCAATAATTTGAGAGCGGGATTAAAAAAGGAACCGAACCTGCGTGTCTTCTGGTGAACTCTTTCCATCAGCTCTTCGTATACCGGGATAAAGCGTACGAAACAGTTTACCCAATGCCTCCGCTTGTAGATTACCTGGTAAAGTCAAATAGAATGAAGGAAACTAACAAAACGTTGATTGGTTGATGAGACTATTTTGTTTCGAAAACCTCTATCAGTGCACAATTTTAAGAATGCCAGGCTTTCGACTTTAAGCAAATTAAACATAAAAGATAGTTCATCAATCTGAAATTTTCATTTTTGGATGTTTTGAGGTCGAGATTATCCACGCCAGAAGTGTTCAAGCAAACAGTTCTGTTCTCAAACAAGAGATGTAGGAAAACCCTGGTATTGACTCAAAATAATTTTACCGATGACTTTTCAGCCATAAAGTGCTATCATGAAAATATTTTCGTCAAAACCCTCAGCGTATGAATCCGAAGTAACGCTACGATTTGCGCTCTGTGAAAGTGGTGTCAAAGTTGGCGTGCGATCCGGATCCATTACGGAACGAAAGTGGATTAAAGCGCTTTAGAGCCCCTCAGTATTCTATCGGTGCTGTTCCAAGCATCTTGCATGAACAAGCAAGACTGTCAGTGCAAAACTGCGCTCAACTAACATATTCTGTTCATTTGATATTAGCAGTGAATTTTTGGTAGTGTGTGGTGCGAAACTCATCAAACCAAAGTTCTGCTGACAGCTTTAACGCTCACCAGCTGTTGTCAATTCTCCGCCCCATTTCAGTATGAGTAGCAATGCTGGTCCTTGTTGTGTTGTCTCTTCACTATCACCGGTACGGAATTCACGAGCCTGAGACATTCAATTCGTTCAAGGAATTTTCAGTTTTTTTTGTATTTGTTACGCACCTTCAAATATTTCAGTTGAACTTTGCGGTTTATACCGGAGAAGTGGCCATACCTGCAAGTATGCACCCCTCAGTCATTTTAGCATTCGGCCACGACAATACATATATGAAATATAGTTTTTGACACTGATTCAGAACTGTGTGCAACTGCAGAAAGTCTGGAAAGACTGCGAATTTGTTAAATTTGACGTAATTTGTTCAAGTTATTGTTGAGTTACAGACAGAGCTAAACCAACGGCAAGTACTATATTTTGGAACTCGCTCACTGTCTCGGCAACGATTAGGCCGCCTAAAGCAAGCAAGATGATAAATAGCTTTTTTTTCCTCAAAAACCTATTAATCTTCTTTTGGATCTAATTTTTAAAAAAAGTGTTAATCCTTGTAGGCCATTAGCCGACCTAATCCAAGCCTCCTCTCTTGCTCAAGCCACATTCTCCCACTTTCTTTTTCCAAATGACACAGAAACCACCACATCAATGTGGCTTAATCGCAGTAGCAACGCAACAAATCCTTTATTTTACAACAAATGGGCAATATTTTATTACAAATAATAAGAAATGATCACATTCCAGAGGCACAACGGTAAGACCAACTAATGAGGCTGGTATAGGACTAGAAAAAATAAAATATTACCAGTATTTCACAAGTCTAATTCTGGAAAAAACATCATCACAAGAAAACGATCACAATCGTGATTCACAACAACAGCATTATTGGTCAATAATAATTATTTACAGTTTAGTCGTTTAGCGATCAACATAGTGCTCCTGCGGTGATGACAACATTTGCGCGGGAAAAATGCCACGCTTGAGCATGTCGACAACTTGCTAGCGACTTGCGCCCAAAAAGTGCTTTTGGAGCGCCTACTGCCATATTTTACGCGCTAATGTTGTCGGCAACGCAAGAACACCATAATAAGCGAGCGAAACCACTGGGCTCTGCATATTTCTGGTATAGCCAATGCTTGTTCAAGCGGTTTGTATTGCTATTGGGGAACATCTTTCAAATGATCCCCACAACGACGAGTCACCACTGCTTCCTTCTTCGGAAGAAACACCTTCATCGCTTGAGTGCGATTCTTCGCCGGCTGAATCTAGCCGACATTCCATCACTACTCTATGCGCAGGAGAAAACTCTTTAGGGTCTAGCTCATCACTTGCACTCTCCTCACACTCCATACTCTCTCTATGATGCATATCGTACATTTCCAGCACAGCTCGCATCTGATCCCAGCGTTTGATGCCTTCTTCAACTTGTTCGAGTTCATGCTCTAGTCGTGAACTTTCACCACCAGAGTCTTCAAAATCCTCCATTGATGTTAGCAGCTCATTTCGGAGGGTCTAAAAAATTCAAAGTTAAGAATTGGTCGAAAAAGAGAAAATAGTTCATCCTTGCTCAAATCTGAGGTTGGCGAGAATGCAAAGCACGGCTAGAGCATTATCAAGTGGCCAAGCCCCATCGCAAAAGGCATGGTCCAATTCTTGAAATTAGCCTCAGAAGGTGGCTGTTGCTGGGGTCGCCACGCCCATCAGCATGAATGCCCTAGAGATAATGAGACCGAAACCAGACTCGATAACGTGTCCTGAACCCGTTTTCCAATGTGAAAAACAGATTTTTACATTATCAGGTGCTCTGAAATCCAGTTTCAGACTCATTACTTCAGACCACCCACGTTGATGGGCGTGGCGACCCCAGCATCATCCACTTTGGAAGGATTTTCTCTTCTCTTCGAAATGCACCTTTTTGCAGCGGACTCGTGCAATTACTTTGCTAGAGACTTCGCTAATGCAGTGCATTAACATCTCGTCAACATCAGATTCGATTGAACGGTGCTATAATTCGCTTAGTAGGACTTACAATATGCTCTGCCAAAATCTGTCGGGCCAACTCGAGCACTTCCATCAGCTGATTCGGTCGTTTCATCTTGATTTCATTCTTCTTGAAGCCGTCATATTTTTTGAACAGTGCGAAGAACCGTTCATCATGTACCACCACCTAAAAATCAATTTTTGAAAGATATACGACACACCTTGCAAGAAACAAACCTTCATTTTCTGTTTGGGAGTACGATCACCATGTCTAATTACAGCTAGTACACATCGAAGCTCCATGAGTTTCCCAGATGGAGTTGATACAAATGGAGGGTCTTCTCCCAAACCGAGATCCAAAAGCGGCGGTGCTTCCTGTTCGCCGCCGAGCGGCAGTTGGTAAGGTATCCTAACACTCATGGTTGTTGCTAACCTCCGCATTATGGTATTTCCGAGAATTTTTGCGGTGTCCTGAAATAGTGTGTATTTAGGGCGTTTGAAAAGAAAAGAAAAAAGCGGTTTTACCTCATAATATTTGGTGGATGTTTTAACGAAGGAGAACCCGTTGACATCGCATACATAGGATTTCCCATTGGCACGAAGTAAATCGAAACCGCATACAGTTTGCTGAAGCAGATTTAATCAACGAAGCACCTAGCCCTCAAGAAAATAAAACAAAAAAATCAAGACATATTTTGAAGTACCAGAAATTTTGGTTGAATGAAACATATTTCACAATTACTCACCCCAAAAGCCAGCACTACCCGTCTAGCAATCATTTTTTCCTTGTGGCTTAAGATAACCGGATATCGGACTTCTTTACCATCTGCATCTCGTTCAACCTTTCCATCAAGGCCAGGTGCTTTTCGCGCTTCCGCATGAGCATAATATGGTCCAACGGCATAAACCTGCAAACGAAGAACATAAATTAAATCATAAATTTCACCAAGAGAAAATTGCAAGAGCAAAAAGGGTGCTGCAAAATGGTAGAAATGAAGTGTAAAAGAATTTACCTTCACATCTGTGCCGTCTGCTGGGATAAAATCCTCATAGATGTAAGAACCATCTTTACGAACTTCACTAACTGGCGAATACCAACTGCTTCGATTGTTAATCTGGAATGAGAAACTTCTTTGAGATGGAACAACATTTTAAGAAACACAGAGACATGAAAATCATTTTCAGAGAATTTTCCAGTGATCATTTGATGGTGATTTACAAATTGCTCTATAGCGTAGCCTTCTTTTTGAGTTTTTTACTTCATAAATTAGGAGCTAATGATCATTCCCTAACCTAAGCAGGTAATCTCCATCAATCATTATGACTTTCACGAATAACTTCAAGACAAGTGCACTTCATTGCAAATTTCATCGATATGCCCTAGTCGCCCACACATTTCTTCATTCAAAGGCATCCCCCATACATTCCAGCATATTACATCGCTTAGACACTTCCGCACCGCATCAAAACAAAATAATAGGTGCAATCAAGAAAGTGCAAGAGGCTACCCTGCGATCAGGTGAATTGAAAAATCTTTTGCAGCACCGCCATGTCCTTTTTGTTTATAATCATGAAGATCATATGGACAGCACAATTGCGCATTGTTCAATTAGAAATTAGTGTTTGAACATTTGAAGAACTTTGCTACTGTTAGGTGTAAAGTAAAACTATGTTGTTTTGCTAAACTACCAAGTTGCAAGATCAAAAACCTTTGTTTTGAGTTTTGTTAGGTCACACAAAACACTGCAAGCATTGCTAGTATAGGGGAAAGAGATCAGACATCGACAGCTCTAACTACTAAGAACATCAGATCAGGGGGATCAAACTCGTGGCTATTAGCTGCGTGTAAGCATAAAATTCCTAAAATCGTCTACTCACATGCGCCGATTTTACAGATCTTCCATTAACCGTTATGGTTCCCTAAAACATCACTTTGGTAGCTATATTACAGCTATTACAAATGGAAGAAATTAGAGCCAAACGCTACAGCAAAAAACAATATTGCTATTGATTATCTACTATAAGGGTAAAAAATTTGTTAGACATGAAAAATCAGGAAAACGAATATGAACCAGAAAAAAAAAGAGGAAAAACAAACAAACTCAAGACAAGACTAACCTTCCTAAATAGCCTTTGTGACCCTCCACCAACCGAGCTCGGATAATAGATATAGATATTGTGATCTTCAGCTGACACCGGTTTCTCGACGAAGGGCTTATTGAAAACCATACCATTTACTTCTATATGGTCATTGTGTTCTACTAAAACGCCATCTGCAAGAAAATAATTTTTCGTAATTCTACTTTTGAACATTTTATAGCTCACCTTCCTCATTTGAGTCACTTCTCATCAATACACCATGTCTAGGATGTTCAATGCCCTCTTTGGCAAGGGTACGAAACACCTTCCGCCGGTCCAGCTAGAATGGGAAAATAAGATAGTCACACTTTTTCTTTTCCAAAAGAAGTTTTTCTCCTTACCAAATCATACTGCCGCTTCAGATCATTTATTACATAAGGTTTACGCAGCTTTACATAGTCAATAGCCTAAAAAACGACGATCAGAAAAGCTGCGCAAACTGGGGAAAAAAATTCACCAACTTTATGCAAGGGAAAATCCGTAGAATGGAATGAGATCAAGCAATCACATAGGGGCCATCGATCAACCGGTTCATGAAGGATAACAGATTCAGGGAAAACAAAGTATTCCAGCCAGTCCTGTAATTATATTATACGATTTATGAAAAAAGTAAGGAGATGAATTTTTCATAAATGCCAATCATAGCTTTGTGGGAAAATCAAAAAAAAAAATCCCATTACTCTACAACAATCTCTTAAATCTACATGAGACGAAATCATATGATTTGCTTTTATATATTTGATAATCAAAATGATCCTACGAAATATATAGAAACTTCAGTTTTGAAATTTTTTCGTATGTTTGTAGCTCAACCTACGCTTCCTTTTCTTTTATCAAAATTTCAAAATCTGAAGCCTAAGATCAAAACTTTCTTGGAAGATTTTCACCTCTGCACCTCCTAGAATTTTTGCGCGCAGCCATTGTTTGTTCCTAATTTCTGCCCCCTCTCTGTCCAGAGCGAATCACTTTCTCGCAGTTCATCGGTCATTGCAACCAGGAGCATTGTTGCTTACGTTAAAAAAGATCAATCAGCTGATTAATTTACTGTGTTGAACCATGTGTTCTCCAGGTGGTATTGCAGACATACACAACAAGTGTCTGCGGCCTTGTGACAAACTCTAAGGGCACTTCTTCAGAACTTTGAGCTTTCAGCATTTTGCTTGTCAGAAAAAAAACCTTTCATTACTTAGGGTTACTTCTTCAAAACAATGTATTCATAGATTCTTAACTGCACCCGACATTTGCTTGTTACATTGAGTCCACTTAAGCTTACATCATAGTTCTCAATTGTTGTTATTTGCTGATGCTTTCCTGGCTATACCATGAGCATGACAAATACATAAACAAATAATCAAATAAACCAGAATCAAAAATTTCCAAATTTAGAGAGCGTAGACTATGCTAACTGTGCAAATTAAGCGGTCAATGTTCTTTTTGAGATATAACAGTCCAAATGACTACCTTTTTGTTTTTTATGACGCCTTTCCTGGCTAGATTTAATTTCACAAAACAAGTAAAAATATTCTCTGAAATATCATCGCATAAAATTCTTGTCATACCATTGATAAGTGCAGTTGAGGAATTTTATCTGCGCTTCATTTTTCACTTCTTTTACGATGTTTATTTGGTTCAAGTATAATACGAGCTTCATGTAACAAGCAAATGTTAGGTGCAATGCACTGCAGTTAAGGGGTTTAACTTCAGATTGGGTTGCACTCAATTTCGCGTTATTTATTGTGTATGCATTTCTTCTGGAAACAATAAATTAGCCCGTAATGTTCCAATCAGAAAGTTCTAGTACCCGAACAAATGTCGGATTAAAACGCCGTTTTTATACTCATCACCTTTGACAAGAAACTACAGCTGTCATTATAGTAAAGACCCGATGACTAAAGAGATTTCTCGCGAAAGCCACCCGTGACCTGTCGCATCCTACGCAACAGACGGACGTTGTTGAGCATAGTTGCTATGGGTGCATGTAAATAATTGGCAGCTGTTTTCAGCGAACATCTGCGAATGGAATTTGAAGAAAAAATTCAAGGATTACATAGCTTTCAGTATCGAAACCCGTGATAAAAATGATGATCTTACAATAAAAATAGGTAATCATTTAATTTCGCTTTTCTGACGGGATTAGCCAATTTTTCAGAAACAAAATTTTTCTGCCAGCAATTCCACCAATCGCGAACATTTGGATAGAAAAAACGCTCACAATGTAGATATTTCATAAACACATCTCTACCCTCACATCATCGCAGGTTCAGAGATCCAAAAACTATTTGTCACCTAACGAACAGACATCAGTTAAGGTGCAAAGCACTCACTGTCCTAGTACCTGACTGCTATCGGCCGTTCACAAAGACTCCAAAACTGTCGCAAATAAGAATTTTGTTTTCCACTCTAAGCTTAGTGATCATATCAGTCTAGGTTCGCGCAGCACAACACCTCCTGTTATTAATGAAGTACTGAAACCAATCGTCCATCTGCTTCAAGGTGCAAGAATGTTGGTCCAAAAATCAAAAGCCAAAAATTGGCGAGTTCTTTGGCAAGACATCTGATGAATCTTATGAGCACGCAGGAGCGATAATTCATGTATACGGTAAGCGTGGACGAGATTCCAAAGATTCTTAGGTTTCCTCGGAGCTACCATGAAGACTAAAATCAAAACAAACGAATCTGATTCTACTAGCGAACTTCGAAATGATCCACAATAAAAAGTAAGTTGCAGAAATATTGCAGCATTCTGCAGTATTTTTATCATAATCAGTCATTGTGAATAAGGCAAGATCGCATCCTCTACCTCAAAAATCTAAGCCTCTCTCACATTTATGTTTGGTAATTTGCATTCTTGTTTCATTTTGGCCCTTCTCCACTCTGCTTTCGAAAGTTCTATGATTCAAAAGCAGTTGCTTAAAAGTCCTCACCTCAAATCAGACCAAAAACTTGCGCGCTTCCTAAAAAAAATGATGCATCTCTTATCACCAGACCCAAAAACCACTCAGAAATTTCTAGACAACTTCACATAAACAATAGCACATTCTCAAGGCCATATCGTCGTTTTGATTTCTCACATTAAGATAAACTTCCGGTCGCTTTGATCACTTGCTGAACGTCACGTGATAGACGATGACAATACGTCATTCTACGATCTTTCCGTAGCACATTACGACATTCATACGCTCGCTCAACTGGCATTTCGCTCCCATTCGTAATCATACACACGTTTGTGGGTGCAAATCTTTAGCACCGTGGCGATAAGACTAACAAGGAAGAAAAGAATATATTTTGACAGAATCCAAATAAACAATCGCATCCGCATATTCTTTGTTCTCTACGGAAAGGCAAACAGTGAAAGGCCATTGTACCGTGTACCACACCTACTATCACTAGCCTTGATAACCCGTATCATCGAAACCAGGAAGGATTACTAATAAGGCCTTGAAAGTGGCGTCAACCATTTCGCAGTAAACTTTGACTTGCTCGATTTCCAAAGAAATGATGTCAATCTACTAAATTCACATAACTTTCATCACACTAACCTTATAGTAATCAACAATTTTCGACATAATCGCTCTCATAGGCTTGCTCGTAGCTTTCCTATTCATTGCACATATTCCTATGCGGATCTGGAACATAAATCTACAATGGATCATCAAAACAGAAAATAAAGTTCCGATCCAACCTTCTTTCCTTGCGATCCGCTTTGATCACCCGTCTCCTCACCAGGTGGTGGAGGACAAGGAATGCTCATTTTTCAAAGTAAATTGGAACAATAATCTGGAACAGATGCCATGAAAATTTTGCAAACAAAATGAATAATGCGAAGGTAAGCGCCTCGAACCACTGAATTCCCAGCGTAATAGCACAAAAAGTAGAGAATAAGCAGATTAGACATCCTGAGTGAAAAGGACTTGACAATATCAATAATTACTGGCTTCAAAAGTCGAAAAAAAAAGTTTTGCGTTAATGACAGGGACGAAAAACTCGTGAGCGTAATCCCCCTAGGCTTGTTACTTCCTAGAAAAACTTTCAGGAAGTTAGTTGAGGCAATTTGTCGATTCATCATAAAAGGAATAACAATTCTGCAAAATGCACAGGGCAAAAGCAAAGCATGGGATGAGAAAATCAAGAAATCAACGAGGGTGGCTTTGTATGGATGAAAGCAAATCTAGCAGAAATAAACGACAATTTAGGGGGAAAATGGAGCTTAGGAAAATAATCCCTAGCTAGTCCAATAATGCCTACCGCTTTGTCTAGGAAAAAAGTGCACAAAGCCCATAAACATAGCAGAAATCCATTAGAAATACACAAGAATACTAAAGCTTGCTTAGATATAGAAAAGCGAAGCTTGCTTGGACATAGAAAAACGCTTTGAGTCCTCCTCAGCAAAAAAAAATTCAGCAGCATACCCATGTGAAGTCAATACTCGTAATCTCCCATACCAGCTAAGGATCTCCTAAATCGCTTAGACTACAATTCTGTGCTAGCAAAAATTGTAATCTAAGCGGTTTCAGAGACCAAAGCTGGATACCGGAAATTCACGAGCAAGATCATAGACCGAGTGAAGCAACCTGGATAGGTTGCTAGAATATCGCCCGACAAGGATTCGAACACACCAAGTTTCGATCCTCGCACTCGATTCACAGCCACACACACACGGGGGGGGGGCACTTGATCAATAAGCTTGGATGTGCGCGTGTAGTGTAGAGAGGGGGGAGGGGTTGTGTGTACTCCTCGTCTCTCTAGGCTTCTCACAGCTAATCAAGCTTGCGAGCACATGTGAGCGAGGACGATAGGTAAATGAACGCGTGAGAAACAGCACAGAAATCTCTGGCCGCACTTCACGCGGGGTTGGGCTTAGATCTTTGTGAAGATATCACGAGGTTTGCTAGCAAACATTGCGTCAGTAGACTCGTGGACTACAACAAGTTTGCACGGAAACTTTTGTCAACCAGTATAAATAGATTCGCTCCGTGAAAAGCGATAATAAAAACTCTTGCGTTTACAAACCAGTCAGATTGTTGAACTCTGGTGGTGCAAAAAAGATTCCACGAAGTGCCAAGTACTGTAGAATCTAGTACATATTCCGCTTTTTCCAAAGTTTCTTAAGTTCAAATTAGTGCAGTTTCAACAAAATCGTCGAAACAAGCAGTTCTTTTATGTCATTTGATTATATTTGAAAACTCACTAATAGTGTGTATATGTACATATTATTAACCAAATTTCTTTTTATACGATTTTTGCTCAATTTACAATTCGATTTCCGGCGCAAAAGCCAAAATTTTGGCAAATATCAGTGAACGGAACCCGCACAATTTTGAAAATTCAAACTATGTTCAAACCAAAAGAAAGCTTAGGAAAAAGGTTTAGAGCTTCTGATAAGATCCTCTCAAGTCAAATTGAAAGACATCATCATTCTTCGCCTAGCCGACTTGACGAGCTTGAACATCCTTAGGAAATAAAATTTACTGCAGTCCCCGCGCTAATCAGAAGCAGAGATAGGACGTTTTATTGTGCAAAGACTGACATAAAAAATATGATATGCAACGAACTCTAAAGAACTTCCATAAATTCAAATTCTAGGCAATAAGAGCTTTCAAGACAAACAAAACCTTTATGCATTTTTATGACATACCCCTTATTCAATGAGATCACTACCATTATTCGAAGGTTGTCCCATCAAACAATAGCCATGCCATGAGGATTACGTATAGAATTTTCAACATCGTATAAATCACGCGGAAACACCGATATTTTTCAACTCCCTATCATAATTCATCATTTCCTTCCTGCATTTCACCCAGAGAAAAAATGCAGTCCGCAATAAATTAGCAAAAATTACCACCTGTCAACACTACACGATGCTTGCGTCACAAAGTTTCCGTTCTAAAACTAAATGGATTTCAGTGCAGCAATAAATATCTAGTCCAGCTATTATTATAACCACGAGTAGGCGTACCTACGCGGCTATTTTTGAAACTGAAAAATGCTAGCGATGGTTGTAATTTGAAAACAAAAGCATGAAGACGTTCAAGATTGCGTGATTCATAATGGGATCCCACAAGGGCAAGAATCTTGATGGCTGTAATGAGTTCTCCGTAAGAGCTATTATACAGAGTCTAACATAAGTTTTGTTAAACTTTCTTCGTCTATTCCCGAAAAAACTCTAGAAGCTTCGCCGAAATCAAGGGATGCATTGGAATAATTTCACTCTACCAATTTCGGATACAAAACAGCAAAGCAACGATGTGACGGCCTTTCAATCATTTTGCTTTTAAAAACTCCTTCATTAAGAGCACCAAGGACAAGGCCAAGGCAGTTTGGGAGTTTAAACTTTCCTACGGCGCGTGACTTACCAAGAAAAATTCGGAAAATTTTCAAATTACCAAATCTCGCGTGTATGACATGTATGCATAGAAAAGCTACGGCCTCCCACGTGATTTGAGCGTGATGGAAATTTTTAAAAGAAAATTTAAAAAATTCAATCTTTCAAGTGCAACAAAACTTATGCTACGTCAAATGACTGTTTAAGCATTGAAAACGAAGCCTTGCACATGCAAATCATCCAATCTACCGTGAAAGCACACACTTCCGGCAATTATCCTTCGCACACCTACGCAGAACATTCAACGCATTAAACTGAGTATTTTCATTCGGTCCAGTTAAAAGCGCTTCTAGCCAAACGAACTAACGTAAAAGCCGCGTCCTCGTCCAAGCACAAAAAGCAGAAAACAACTCGGCACACACAGCCTCACAACAACGGAGCACAGCGAAGAAGGAAGCGAAGCGAAGAACGAATGGGTGGGGCTGTGGGGCATGAGAACTGATGAGGTGTGCGACTCACGCCACTTCCCAGCCCCCAGACAACGCTCTGCCACAAACTATACTGAACATATGGTAAACATGTACGATAGAACAGGTATCGCACACAACGTTTACTCCGACAGCGAAGAGATCAGCAAAGTGAATGAACGCAAACTGCTCCGCTAATACCGCCGTCTCAGCGTAAAATGATAAGAAGATTAGACCTACAATTAAACTTGGTTGTTAGCTAGATTTTTCTGGGGTGCACATACGAAAAAGTGACTAGTACGGCATGGTACATTCCGATGTAGAATACCACTCGTAATTTGTAAAAAAAACATTGCCTTTCGCCGCAGTTCACCGAACTTCGCGTCGCAACGCCATATCTTGCTTCAAAGTGGACGAATTCTGAATCCAAAAGCACTCCCGAACTCAGCTCACAAGATGCATCTTCTGATATTAAATAGTGCCTGTTTGGGCATAGCGGTCAAAATCCAAGGATCTTTTCATAGTTTTGCTCAGGGTACGTTCAGAGTGCTTATTCATTGCACAACTATCCTACAGGCAAAGATCTGGAAAGATTCGTGGTATTTGACGTCTACCGTCCCAAGCATGCATTTCTATTCTCAGAAGACGTATCTCACTGAGATGAGTTAGATGGAGCTTTTGGATTCACAAATCGTCTACCCTGAAGCAAAATATGGTGTTGCGACGCGATCATTAGCGGACTAAGGCGGGGTACAGTGATTCGTTTTTAATTACCTACTTATTATAGTTGAACCCCTATTGGATAGCGCTTCACATGAGAAAAGCGACTCGCTGACTGTTTGATTGTAATAATGTTTGACTGCAATTCTTTGCAGTCAGGATGCCGCTTTTCTCATGTACAAACTAATCACCAAACTGTCAATTATTGTCAGTATGTACCATGCAGTACTAGTAATTATTTCGCACGCGCTTTCATAAAAAACCCTACGTCAACATTCAAAAGATACAATACTGCAAGCTAAAGTCATAATAGCTTCGAGTAATTACGAAAAAAACACCATTAGCCTTCTTACTAAAATTTATAGTACTGTTTACACTCACGTGTTGATAGTAAGAGCCAAAGTTTAGCTCCAATACGACTCTTACACTGCGATCGTACGAGAAAGGGAAAGGATGTAAACATTAGATTTTTGGCCGACTCGAGATAAAATAAATGGGGGGGGGGTTAATTGACAGAGCTTGATTTCAACGACACTGACAAAGGTTAATTGATTTCAAGGGGGAGAAAACGAAATTTTTCAGACAGTAAGTGAACGGTTCCCAGGTTTTGAGAAAAATTTTGTAAAGTAATCAACTATAGTATATGGCTTTTCCCAACGTTTCCCGCTTCTTGCATCAAACGTCAAAAATCCAGGGTATTAAACAATAAATTCCTAAAGATGACAGCCCAAAGAATTTGCTGTTTTTTGATTCATCAAAAAATATTAGTACGAGCTATTTTTCGTTTCAGTAATGCAAATTCTGCCAACTTTACGACACCATTCCGTCCGTTGTCTCTACTTATAGCACAATCACTTAACAACGGATGAAACTAATGCGAACCCTCTCGCCATGGAGACATATGTCAAAATGAAAAGCCGATTGTCCAGGGTCACTTAAATAGCACGCTAGCAGCTGACTCATACTTTCCAGAAAAAACGTAAATGCCCTCGACAGCTAATTTCATGTAGACGCATTTTACGGTTATATTTCCACCGCGTCTGTGCAATAATTCCGTCATCAAACCATGTTATGTTGCGAATGCAGAATTTCACATAGATGATTCATTTCATGTTTTTTTTTCATCTAGCTACGCAATTCGCTGACGCCATCTGCTTACGATAAGTTCAAGGTTAGCAAGAACAAATACTGGCTTTCTACAAACCATCTAATTTCTTGTGAATTACCAAGACAAATTTTACTCCGTGAGAAACGCTAGATCGAAT